CTACATATGACTAGTCAATTTTCCCAGCACCATTTATTAAATAGGGAATCCTTTCCCCATTTCTAGTTTTTGCCAGGGTTGTCAAAGATCAGATGGTTGTAGATGTGTGTTATTATTTCTGAGGGTTCTGTTCTGTTCCACTGGTCTATATTTCTGTTTTGGTACAAGTACCATGCTGTTTTGGTTACTATAGCCTTGTAGTATAGCTTGAAGTAAGGTAGCATGACACCTCCAGCTTTGTTCTTTTTGCTTAGGTTTGTCTTTGCAATGCGGGATCTTTTTTGGTTCCATCTAAACTTTAAAGTAGTTATTTCCAATTCTGTGAAGAAAGTCATTGGTAGCTTGATGAGGATGATATTGAATCTATGAATTACCTTGAGCAGTATGGCCATTTTCATGATATTGATTCTTCCTAACCATGAGCATGGAATGTTCTTCCATTTGTTTGTGTCCTCTTTTATTTCATTGAGCAGTGGTTTGTAGTTCTCCTCGAAGAGGTCCTTCACATCCCTTGAAAGTTGGATTCCTAGGTATTTTATTCTCTTTGAAGCAATTGTGAATGGGAGTGCACTAATGATTTGGCTCTGTGCTTGTCTGTTATTGGTGTGTAGAAGTGCTTGTGATTTTTGCACATTGATTTTGTATGCTCAGACTTTGCTGAAGTTGTTTATCAGCTAAGGAGATTTTGGGCTGAGACAATGGGGTTTTCTAAATATACAATGGCAAATTCTATTTCCTTACCAAGGTGTGGTAACATAGATGTTAACCTTATAATTTTTTCTTACTTTTTATTAGATATTATTACTCTGTATATGTATGTTATACTCCACAATAAAAAATGTTAATAACTTCATGTCTAAAACACCAAAAGCAATGGCAACAAAAGCCATAATTGACAAATGGGATCTAATTAAACTAAAGAACTTCTGCACAGCAAAAGAAACTACCATCAGAGTGAGCAGTGAACCTACAGAATGGGAGAAAAATTTTGCAATCTACTCATCTAACAAAAGGCTAATATCCAGAACCTCAAAGAACTCAAACAAATTTACAAGAAAAAAACAAACAACCCCATCAAAAAGTGAGCAAAGTATATTAACAGACATTTCTTAAAAGAAGACATTCATACAGCCAACAAACGCATGAAAAAGTGCTCATCATCACTCACCATCAGAGAAATGCAATTCAAACTATAATGAGATACCATCTCACTCCAGTTAGAATGGCAATCATGAAAAAATCAGGAAACAACAGGTGCTGGAGAGGATGTGGAGGAATAGGAACACTTTTACACTGTTGGTGGGACTGTAAACTAGTTCAACCATTGTGGAAAACAGTGTGGTGATTCCTCAAGGATCTAGAACTAGAAATACCATTTGACCCAGCCATCCCATTGCTGGGTATATATCCAAAGGATTGTAAGTCACGCTGCTATAAAGGCACATGAACACGTATGTTTATTGCAGCACTGTTCACAACAGCAAAGACTTGGAATCAACCCAAATGTCCATCAGTGACAGACTGGATTAAGAAAATGTGACACATATACACCATGGAATACTCTGCAGCCATAAAAAATGATGAGTTCATGTCCTTTGCAGGGACATGGATGCAGCTGGAAGCCATCATTCTCAGCAAACTATCGCAAGAACAGAAAACCAAACACCACATGTCCTTACTGATAGGTGGGAATTGAACAATGAGATCACTTGGACACAGGAAGGGGAACGTCACACACTGGGGCCTATTGTGGGGTGGGGGGAAGTGGGAGGGATAGCATTAGGAGATATACCTAATGTAAATGATGAGTTAATGGGTGCAGCACACCAACATGGCATATGTATACATATGTAACAAACATGCACGTTGTGCACATGTACCGTAGAACTTAAAGTATATATTTAAAAAAAAGTTTAAAAACGCAGAAACATAAAGTACATTTCTAAGTACAAAATTAGGGTGATACAGCAAATTCTCATAGATAACATTGTAATCAGATATGGTATCTCATAGATACCATAAAGGAGCATAGAGCTTTATGGTACTAAGAAATCCAAGTTAAAATTTAAAATTTTTCTTTTTTAATTTTGAGGCAGGATCTCGCCGTGTTGTCCAGGCTGGAGTGCAGAAGTACAATCTCGGCTCAATGCAACCTCTGCCACCTTGGCTCAAGTCATTCTGCCATCTCAGCCTCCAGAGTAGCTAGGGCAACAGGCGTTCACCACCACGCCCTGCTAATTTTTTCTAGTTTTTTTTTTTTGTAGAGACAAGGTTTTGCCCTGTTGCCCAGGCAGGTCTTGAACTTCTGTGCTCAGGCAGTCCACCTGGCTCAGCCAACCAAAATGCTGGGATTACAGGTGTGAACCACCACACCTGTACCAAAACATTACTTTAATTAACTAAAACAAAAGAAAAGATAAGAAAGAACTATAAATCCACCATCTTAGTGTTAATATGAGTTTGAAACATCAAAATTTGAATATTTATGACTGATAGACACTTTTTCTCTTATTTCCAATTTAATTATTTGTGATACACATTTGAAAGTGTCAGAAATTCATGAATTTACCATAAATAATAGTATGATGATATTAAATAAATATCTTCAAAAATGTGTCTCTAAATGAAATTTTATATTCATATTGTTAGCATTCTAATTTCAAAATACTATTCCTGTGTTCGGTAAAATTTTTTGTTACTATACATTTTTTGGCTCTGCATTAGAGAAAAAATATCATAGAAAGGCAAATTTCTTAAGGTATAAAGATATTTAGGGTGATCTTTGAGTATATTTGTGAATCTATAATGCCACATTGACTGCTATAGTAAAATAATCCAGATTTAGTCACCATAGCTAAGAATGTGAAAAAGCATTTGCAAGAATTTGACTTGCTAATGATGCCATTAAAAGATGAAATAAACTTGATATACTGTATTATTGCATAGAGTATTCATCCATGTTCATATAGAAAAATGCTCCAGATCCCCAAAATAGAATCCTGATTGTTGGAGGTCACTTTTGTTATCAACTTTTAAAATGTAGTAAAAGAAAAAAAAAAAAAAGAAGCAAATAAATCATTGAAAATATGTTGGTTTTACATTATTCTTGATGAAATACCATGTGAGGATATTTGTCTAGGCCTAATGCTGAGAATTACAGAAGTATCATGAGGCCATGAGGAGGAATAATAGTGTTCTCTCATCACCCTGAACTCCAGTACTTAGAAACAAGACTGAAATCACATTTATGAAAAAACATTCTCCCTTTCACCTGCCATCATCATTCTCATCGTCATCATGTATATCTTCATCTATCTCATGGAATGATTTGTTTTTGAAATATTTAAATACATAATATGGAAAATAAGGAATTTTAAAAAGATCATCATTGTGAGAAAGTTACAATAGTAAACAGCAAAGTTCAAGTCGAGCTCAATACATTTAGGTTTAGAAATTAAGTGTAGTTTATTTTAGAATACATTGCCCAAGCAAATAATTATTTATGGACGACCTTAAATGAATCCTCATTTCACTAAGATCACAATAGAAACAATTTAGATTTTAGTGTAAATAGAACTCCCTAATAAGAAAGATAAAGCAAATAACTCATTTTTATGAGCAAGCTTTTATTTCTAAAGAGCGAGTTTTTAGGACCAAATTGTCAAACAGAGGTAAGACCTCAGATCTTCTGTCACACTTGAGTGAGTGATGATGGATTTCAAAGGTTGTAGTTCTATAACCAAAACCATATTCACGGATAGGGATTAAATGGTGGAATTCCATAGAAGCACTAGATTCAGGTTTATTTCCATGGGACTTCAAGTCTACTTGTATCAGATGTCCTTCAGTTTTTCATAAACTTGTAAGTACTGTTTCACTATTTGATCTTTTAAAGATTGTTGTAAACTAAGAAGTCTTGATTTCTGCTAATAAAGCAGCGTAAAATTAAAATCATGGAATAGAATGGTGGAGCTGTTGTTGAGATACTTTGTCTTATTAATTGAAGTGACATTTTGAGATCCAGTACTTCTCACTGAATTTCTCTGTGAGGAGAGTTTGCGATGATGATCCAGAAACAGAAAAGCTACTATCCAAAAAATGCTATCACATCAAATCAATTATCAATTTCTTCCAAGTTGCAGGAGGATGCCTAGACCTTGCTTTTATTCTCTCTTTTGACCAAAGTATTCCAAAAGGAAGAAAATCATTACCATTCTCATGTCAGAAAAATGGCATGGAGATGAACCCAGGCTGTTTTCGATGTTCCCTCTTGTGCCCTGTATAAGCGTTACTTGACCGTTTCTGACACATTCCAGTATTTCCAATTTTTGTCTTGGTTCATTTCTAAGTCTGCATTACAATTTTAACATAAATTTTTAGTCAGGAGAAATGTCTTATAGAAATTATTATTATTCATCTCATTATATACTGAAGGGAAAAATCAATTAGCTGTATATACATTCTTATACAACTCTAAGATAGTTGAAATAGGAACTTTCTTATTTAGTTGCATTATAAGGAAATTTGAGATGATGTTATCTGTCAAGCGCAGATGTTTCCAAAGGATTTATTCTAGACTTAATTATCCACCTCACAGGACAAACCTTTGCCATTCCACATCTATTTTTACTTTCTGCTCCTGATTCCTGACACAACAAAGATGTACATACTTCTCACACTCTCGGTTTAGCAGAGTTCTTTTATCAGTTATGTTTTCCTGCAGGAGAAAACCCTCTAAAACTACATTAGATATATATATCTCACATGTCTTTGGATTTCATTTGTGTGTGTGTGTGTGTGTGTGTGTGTGTGTTCTATTTTTTGAGATGGAGTCTCACTCTCTCGCCCAGGCTGGAGTGCAGTGGCACGATCTTGGCTCACTGCAACCTCTGCCTCCTGGGTTCAAGCGATTCTCCTGCCTCAGCCTCCCACTAGCTGGGACTACAGGCAAACGCCACCAAGCCCGCCTAATTTTTATATTTTTAGTAGGGACGGGGTTTCACCATGTTGGCCAGGATGGTCTCAATCTCTTGACTTCGTGATCTGCCCTCCTTACCCTTCCCCGCGCCTGTCCTGGATTTCATTTTTCTAAGCTGGGTTTGATGGATGGCTCTGGTGATTTGAGATGGGCCAAATTCGGCATCTTGGAGACAGAGTTTGGCCAATTTAGTGTGGATCAGCTGGGGGCAACCTGACCTCATTAGTTTCTCATTCTCCCTCTGGGAACAGTGTACTTTCTAGGTGATGTTCTCATGGTAAATGGAAAGAGGAAGAATCTCCAGTATGGAAGCCATCTCAAATCTCTATGCAAAGTGCAGTAATTTTCTGTTTATGAAAGTAAGTTAAATGGTTGAACTCCAAGTTCAGGCGCAAGGTAGTCAGTCTTCCTGCAATGGGAGTATGCTGCGAGATTATCTATCAAAGAGCCCGGTACTCAGGAATTCTTATAAAATTGCTAAATATTTTATATGATAATAAATATTCAAACATTAGACTTCACAGAAACTTTACCAAAGTCCTAAGAATTAGATATGTGTTTGATAAATAAATATCATTCATGCGCTGAAAACTGTGAGTGTGAGAATAGGACTAATTTCATCTGGATAACCTCTTGGAAACTCATTTTTTGTTTTGGAAGTTACAGGAAAATAATTTGTTCCATTCATAAGCGGTGTGCCCATGCGTGCATATGTATGTGTATTTCTGAGCTTGTGACTAATGAAGCTATACAAAAGTATTAGCAGCAACCAGATCTTATGGAGTACTGGCCTGCCTGTGGTTCTCAAGAAAATCTTAGATGCTTTTGCTAAAAGCAGTTTGGATTCTGCGTATTTAAATCTGGCATTTAAAATGTCAATATAGGTGATGATCTTAGTTAAGAACAAGCTCCCTTTAAGAATTTAGACATTTACTGTATAAACTACGTACTGGATTATAAAACTTCCCTAACAACTGAAGTCGTTAAAGACAAATGATGGATAGCTTACACAAGGAAAAATTGCAAACACTGAAAGAGAATATGCTCCTATTTGTGTACTAGCAAATGAGGATTCAGGTTTCCTGTCAATTTCAGTATGAATAATTCCAGCCTATAAAAGGAACAGACAATGAATGAATGAGTTAATTTGAATTGTTTGAAAATAAGAATGTTTTCCATAAAGAGATCACTGAACTCATCAATTAACATGCCATGGTGATTTCTGGCTTGACAGTGGTCACAACATTTAAAAGTAAAAAGAATGAGCAAGCACATTCACAAATTAGGTGCATATAGAATTTAAGGTCAGGATATTCAAGCAATCACAACCAGTCATATTTCATTGAGAGGTGAAGCCAGCTGGACTTCCTGGGTCGAGTGGGGATTTGGAGAAGTATTCTGTAGCCAGCATGGGGATTGTAAAGTGCACCAATCAGTGCTCTGTGGCTAGCCAGAGGATTGTAAAATGCACCAATGAATCCTCTGTAAAAGGCACCAATCAGCGCTCTGTAAAATGCTTCAATCAGTACTCTGTAAAGCGCACCAATCAACAGGATCCAAAAAGTAGCCAATCACAGGGAAGACTGAAAAAAGGGCACTCTGATAGGACAAAAACTGAACATGGGAAGGGACAAATAAGGGAATAAAAGTGGCCATTCCAGCCGGCAGCAAAAACCCACTGAATGCTGTGGAAGTATTGTCCTGTTGTTCTTCACAATAAACCTTGCTACCGCTCAGTCTTTGGGTCCATGCTATCTTTAAGAGCTGAAACCTGGCTACTGCTCAATCTTTGGGTCCATGCCATCTTTAAGAACTGTTAACACTCACTGCAAAGGTCCGTGGCTCCATTCTGGAAGTCAGTGAGACCAGGAACCCACCTGCAGGAACCAACTCCAGACACAACATCAGCATTTAAAAATTTTCTTTTTGTTTGTTCAGACATGATAACTTTTCTACCCATCATTTTTTCCACTCTAGTAGTGGTTACATTTGTTATTGGAAATTTTGCTAATGGCTTCATAGCACTGGTAAACTCCGTTGAGTTGGTCAAGAGACAAAAGATCTCCTTTGCTGACCAAATTCTCACTGCTCTGGCGGTCTCCAGAGTTGGTTTGCTCTGGGTATTATTATTAAATTGGTATGCAACTGTGTTGAATCCAGCGTTTTATAGTGTAGAAGTAAGAACTACCACTTACAATGTCTGGGCAGTAACCAACCGTTTCAGCAACTGGCTTGCTACTAGTCTCAGCATATTTTATTTGCTCAAGATTGCCAATTTCTCCAACCTTATTTTTCTTCACTTAAAAAGGAAGTTAAGAATGTCATTCTGGTGATGCTGTTGGGGCCTTTGCTCGTTTTGGCGTGTCATCTTTTTATGGTAAACATGAATGAGATTGTACGGACAAAAGAATATGAAGAAAACATGACTTGGAAGTACATATTGAGGAATGCGATTTACCATCCAGGTATGACTGTAACCACGCTACAGAACTTAGTACCTTTCACTCTGACCCTGATATCTTTTCTGCTGTTAATCTGTTCTCTGTGTAAACATCTGAAGAAGATGCAGCTCCATGGCAGAGGATCTCAAGATCCCAGCACCAAGGTCCACATAAAAGCTTTGCAAATTGTGATCTCCTTCCTCTTGTTATGTGTCATTTACTTTGTGTCTGTAATTATATCAATTTGGAGTTTTGAGAGTCTGGGAAACAAACCTGTCTTGATGTTCTGCCAAGCTATTAAATTCAGCTATCCTTCAGCCCACCCATTCATCATGATTAGGGGAAACAAGAAGCTAAAGCAGACTTTTCTTTCAGTTTTGTGGAACGTGAGGTATTGGGTGAAAGGATAGAAGCTTCAATCTCCATAAATTCCCAAGAGGGGCATTGTGTGTCTTCTAGCAGAAAACAAACTGGTGGTGTATGAAACATTTTCTATTTCTTACTGTGTTTTCTGTAATGTATGTGTATGAGTAATTTCCAGACATATACCTAGAAAAGTCTTTCACCTAAAATTAGTCAAAAGAAGTGTATATGTGTGTGTGTGTGTGTGTGATTTATATGAAAAACTTAAGAACACTGACAATAACATATGCTTTTTTGTTTTTTCACATGAACTGCCAAATTATACAAAATATGACAAAAATTACTCAGAATTCCGAAGCCATGGTTTTCATTTATGTATTTTATATTTAATTTGTAGAATTTACAATGTCTATTTATAATTATTAAGAAATAACAGCTTATCTCACGGAAAATATTGCTGTTTTCTATTGTTGTTTGATCCACGCAAATATACCACAATGTGCTTAGAATTCGTTGTTTGAACATCTAACTTTTTGGATGGTAAGGTCATTCAATTCTAAATCAATAATGAGAATGCATCTTTGAGGTTTTATTACATTATGAATTCCTGTTTTATTTAGTAAAAAGCAATCAGAATTATTGATAGAAAACAATGCCCACAAAAAACTTCGAGTGACGAGCATATGTAGAGTAAATTTCGTCTATGTCTACCATAAACAGTACTGAGGAATATTAGATTTAATAACAAGTATGTGAATAGCTTAGAAGAAAATCTCTTTGGTAATAAAGGGATGAAAATTCATGATCATGATCTTGATTGCTATTATCATTTTCCATATGCAGTTAGAAATGTCATTTCTTCCAGCTTTTGAATTAAAGAAAAACTGTTTTTGAATTGAGATCTGATGCAAATTGTTTTAGTATTTTTTTCTAAAGCACTTCTAAGCCCTTGATTTGCTAAATATATCCTTATCTTCCATTTATAAAATTCCTTCTAAACTTCAGATAGGAGAACTCAAATCACTTCTCTAAAAAAAAAAAAAAACTATCAGTGTAAAAGTAGTATAGCAATGATGGAAAATAATTCAGTGGAACTTTTTGTAAATGTTAATATAGTATCGATGAAATTATGTATTAACTATGGAGTGTGCCTTAACGTTATAATTTTGTTGTCAGTAATGAAAATGTTTTGACATATTCACTAATAAAAAGTTCTACTATAAGAAAGAAATTTACAGTTTTGTTCACAGCTAAATTGTATATGAAGGTATTAGTTGTTTGTATTATGAAATTTTAACGATGTTATTTAAACCTCAAGATAAATCATCCCCACAGCTGATTTATGTATTTTTTTAATCATATATCTTCCTCAATACAATGTAAGAACTGTAAAAAAGCAGATCATGTCTTCCTTGCTTTCTGTTGATTCACAGGTTCTAGAACCCAGTACCAAGTGTAGATGTTCAAAAATGATGTTTTAATGAACAAATAAATGGGTGGATAAAACGGATAAGTTGATGTGGTAAACCAATTAAAAAATGAAAAGTAAACTCATCACAAAATCTGCTTGGACCAGAGCCTATATCTTCTGTAGAGCCCTCTTTTATTCCGGGTTCCACTCGAGACCGGTAGCCTTTTGAAACTTCGTTAATGAGTCAGAGCAATATTTTCAAATGTGGAATATGTTGGCTCCAAAATCCCAATAGGCCCCCAAAATATTGTGTCTCTTTTGTAGTGATAGGAAATATATAGAGCAAAACATCTGTAATAAAGATTGTTTCGACGTGTGGACTGGGGACACTGAACGCTTTAAAATATCACCTATGTTGTAGGTCCCTGAATCTTCTCGGGTTTATTTATTTTGTTCTGGTATTTTACTTCCATTCAACATTAGGGTATTTTACTATATTTAAGAAACTTGCCACTTCCTGATTATTGTACCAACGAATATATTATTATTATTAATTATTATTCTTATTGCTATTATTTTGAACAGGTTCTCACTGTGTCCCTGAGACTAGAGTGCAGTGGCAGGATCACAGCTCATGACAGCCTCAACCTTCTGGGCTCAAGTGATTCTCCCACCTCCACATTGCTAGCAGCTGGGACTGCAGGGGAACAATCTCACGCCTGGCTAATTTTTTATTTTCTGTTAGGATAGGATTTTACCATGTTACCCAGGCTGATTTCAAACTCCTAGGTTGAAGTGATGTGTCTGTTTTGGCCTCAAAAGTGCTGGGATTACAGTCATGTGCCACAGGGCCCGGTCTGTAATATTATTAATATATTAAATTAGCACGATGTTTTAAAAAATGTAAATTAAACTGAGAACAGAAGTGACATAGTCCTGACATAAAACAGTGAAGCAGTGCTATTATTCTTACAATACAAAGCAAATTGTTTTGATTTTCCCTCTTACTGGGTGTAGGTTAAGAAATATTGACCAAATCACGAGCCACATTAAAAGTACCAGAAGCTCTGCTCTGCTCAGTGAAGATAGCAAATCCTGGAAAGATTTTGTGAGTGTTGATTTAAGTTTATGGTAGTCTGCATTCATTCTATAATTCATCTGGTTTTGGTAGAGGCCAGATAGGTTAAGTGAATAGAGATCTAAAGAGACTACTGTCCCCTGTAACTTGCAAGTGTTTTGTCACGGCAGTGACCAATTCCATTCCTTAGGGAATGCAGTTATTATATTTTATACATTGCGTTGCCAGTAGAGGAGAATTTGAGAGGCTTCCCCTTGGTCCTGCTATAATAATGACCTTTACTCTACAGGTTTCAATTACACATTCAGGAAGAAGTAATAACTGCAAACTGATTAGATCCACCTCGGGATGGACATGAGCCGAAGCTCTAAGTAGCATCTGACCTTCAAGCACTCCCACTGCAGGCTGGATGTGAGGACTCATGCCTGTAGTCCTAGTGCTTTGGGAGAGCAAGGAGGGAGGATCCCTTGAGAGCAATAATTCCCTGTGCAGCATATGGAGACTCCATCCATACAAAAAATTAAAAAAATTAGCTGGCATGGTTGTGCATGCCTATAGTTCCAAACACTTGGGAAGTTAAGGCAGGAGGATTGCTTGAGCCCAGGCATTCAAGGCTGCAGTGGGCTATGATCCTGCCACTGTACTCCAACTTGGGTAACAGAGGGAGACTCTGTCTCAGAGGAAGAAGAAAAAAAATGTAAGTTCTCGCTGATATCTTAAATATCAAGTAAAATGGGATCAAATCAATAATTAACAATCTTTGGTTCCTGCCTATAGCAAACAGGTAAAATTGAAAGTAGTTATGTAAAGAATAGATTAACTCCTAACAAAATTAACCAAAGACAATTTTATTTTCATCTCCTTTCTTTGTTGTTTTTTTTTGAGACAGGGTGTTGTTCTGTCTCCCTGCTGGAGTGCAGTGGCACGATCCTGACCAATTACAACCTCCATCTCCTGGGTTCAAATGATTCTCCTGCCACAGCCAACTGAGTAGCTGGGATTATAGGTGTGCGTGATCACAACTGGCTAATTTTTGTATATTTAGTGGGGACAGAGTTTCACCGTGTTGGCCATGCCGGTTTCAAACTCCTGACCTCAGGTGATCCACCTGCCTTGGCCTCCCCAAATGCTGGAATTACAGGCCTGGGCCACCATGCCCAATCTATCATCTGCTTTTTTAGGTAATTTTATTGAGGCAGGCAGTAGTTGTAAAATGCAGTCTCACATCATAGCTATACTCTAATGAGGAGGGTATCTGGTTTCCTGTCTTCACAGTCTGACTAGAAGATTCCCTCTTAGAAACCATTATACTGTAAAAACGGAAAAGAAATAAAATCCAAGATTGGAGACTGATTTGGTAAATATGTGCATAATTATAAATGAATGTTTACTGTCAAAAATAATGTCTTATTGCGGTAATTACATAATTGATAATATATAGGCAAATGGCAAAAAAAATAGACTGGAGGCAGAGGTGACAGGAGTAAATTTACTTAAAGTATTTTTTGAACTGTTCTATATCTACTAGGAGATTTTGAACAATGACCCTGTAATTCTATCCAAAGGTATATATACAAAGGAATTGTATCAAATGATATTTGAGAGAATGCTTTAGTAGAATTATTCATAACTGTTCAAAAAAAAGCTGGCCAAATAGATATTAAGGATAGATCAATCATTACAGTAAATCCACACAACAGAACAACATAGAGAAGTGAAAAAAAACATATGTACATGCAACTCTGTGACTAAATTTCAGAAACACAATGTTGAGACCAAGAAACCACAACCAAGAAGAACATGAAGGATTGCACCTACACACAGTTGAAAGCAGGCCAGACCAAGCTGTGCAGTTTAGGGTTGCATACCTAATTGGTAAAGTATAAGGAAAATCAAGGAAATGATCATCATAAATTATGGGTATTGTTTATCTCCAGAGATGTGAACAAGGGGTTACGGGCTTGGAAAGTGGCATGGAGGTGGACCTAGGCTGTTTTCGGTGTTCCTTGTCTTGCCTGCCATCATGGTTACTTGAGTGCTTATGATACATTGCGGTATTTCCCATTTTTGTTTTGGCTCATTTCTAAGTGTGCGTTATTATTTTAACATAAAAATTTTAAATTAGGAGAAATATCTTATAAAAGTTTATTATTACTCATTATATACTGCAGGAAAAATAAACTATTTGTATACATTCTTATACAACTCTAAGAGAGTTGAAGTAAGAACTTTCTTATTTAGTTGTAACATGAGGATATTTGAGATGATGTTATCTGTCACCTCCAGATTTTTCCAAAGGATTTCTTCTAGCCTTAATTATCCACCTCATAGGAATAAACCTTTGCCATTCCCCATCGATTTTTTCCTTTTGGCTCCTGAATTTCTGACACAACAAGGTTGTACATATTTTACACACTCTTAGTTTAGCAGAGTTCTTTTCTCAGTTATGTTTTTCTGCAAGAGAAACCCTCCAAAACTACATCATATATTTATATATTATATCTTTAGATCTCATTTTTCTAAGCCGGGTTTGGTGGATGTCTCTGGGGATTTGTGGTGGGCCAAATTCTACATCTTGGAGGTCGTTAGAGTTTGGCCAATTTAGTCTGGATCAGGTGGGGACAATGTGCCTTCATTAGTTTTTCATTCTCCTTCTGGGAACAGTGTACTAGCTAGGAGATATTCTCATCCTAAATAGAAAGAGGAAAAACCCCAGTATGGAAGCCATCTCAAATCTCTATGCAAAGTATATTAATTTTCAGTTCATCAAAGCAAGCTAAATTATTGAACTTCAAGTTCAGGGGAAAAGTAGTCAGTCGTCCTGTGATGGGAGGTTACTGCAAGATTATATGTCAAAGGGCCTGGTACCCATGAATACTTATAAAATTGCTGAATATTTTAATTAAATAATAAATATTTAAACTTTAGACTTGAAAAAACTTTACCAAAGACCTAATAATTAGAGATGTGTTTGATAAATAAATATTGTTCATGGGCTGAAAACCCTGAGTGGGAAAATAGGACTAATTTCAGCTGGACAACCCCCTGGAAACTCATTTTATAGTTTGGAAATTACAAGAAAATAATTCATTCCATTCATAAGTGGTGTGCACATGTGTGTGTTTGTGCATTTATTTATGAGCTTGTGAATAATGAAGTCACACAAAAGTATTAGCAGCAACCAGATCTTATGGAGTACCTGCCTGCCTGTGGTTCTCAAGTAAATCTTAGATGCTTTTGATAAAAGAAGGTTGAATTCTGTGTATTTAAATCTGGTGTTTAAAAAAGACTGTATAGGTCATGATCTTAGTTATGACAAGCTCCCTTTAAGAATTTAGATATTTACTATATGATCTCTGTATTGAGTTATAAAACTTTTCTAACAACTAAAGTCACTAAAGACAGATAATGGAGAGGTTACACAAGGAAAACTTGCAAACACTGAAAGTGAATATGTCCTTGTTTGCATACTAGCAAATGAGAATTCAGGGTTCATGTCAACTTCAGTATGAATAATTCCAGCCTATAACAAGAACAGACATGAGTGAATGAGTTAATTTGAGTTGTTTTGAAATTAAAAATGTTTTCCATAAAGAGAGCATTGAACTCATCCATTAGCATGCTATGGTGATTTCTGGCTTTACACTGGTCACGAAAATTAAAAGTAAAAAGAATGGCACAGCAGATACACAAATCAGGTACATATAGATTTTAAGGTCAGGATATTCAAGCAATCACAACCTGCGATGTTACACCGGCATTTTAAAAATTTCTTTCTGTCTGTTCAGACATGATAACTGTTCTATCTATCACTTTTTCCATTCTAATAATGGTTATATTTGTTATTGGAAATTTTGCTAATGGCTTCATAGCATTGGTAAATTCCATTGAGTGGGTCAAGAGACAAAAGATCTCGTTTGCTGACCAAATTCTCACTGCTCTGGCTGTCTCCAGAGTTGGTTTTCTCTGGGTATTATTACTACATTGGTGTGCAACTGAGTTTAATCTAGCTTTTTATAGTGTAGAAGTAAGAAGTACTGCTTATAACGTCTGGGTAGTGACCAACCATTTCAGCAGCTGGCTTTCTACTAGCCTCAGCATATTTTATTTTCTCAAGATTGCCACTTTCTCCAACCTGATTTTTCTTCACTTAAAGAGGAGAGTTATGAATGTCATTCTGGTGATGCTGTTGGGGTCTTTGCTATTTTTGGCTTGTCATCTTTTTGTCATAAACATGAATCAGATTGTACAGACAAAAGAATATGAAGGAAACATGACATGGAAGATCAAATTGAAGAGTGCAATGTACTTTTCAAATATGACTGTAACCATGCTAGCAAACTTTGTACCCATCACTCTGACCCTGATATCTTTTCTGCTGTTAATCTGTTCTCTGTGTAAACATCTGAAGAAGATGCAGGTCCATGGCAAAGGATCTCAAGATCCCACCACCAAGGTCCACATAAAAGCTTTGCAAACTGTGACCTCCTTTCTCCTGTTATGTGCCATTTACTTTCTGGTCATAATGCTATCAGTTTGGAATTTTGAGAGGCTGGAAAACGAACATGTCTTCATGTTCTGCCAAGCTACTGTATTCAGCTATCCTTCCACCCACCCATTCATCCTGATTTGGGGAAACAAGAAACTAAAGCAGATTTTCCTTTCAACTTTGTGGAATGTGAGGTACTGGGTGAAAGGACAGAAGCCTTCATCTCTGTAGATTCACGAGAGGGGCCTTGTGTGTCTTCTAGCAGAAAACAAACTGGTGATGTATGAAACATTTTCTATTTCTTACTGGGTTTTCTGTAATGTATGTATATGAATAATTTCCAAATGTATACCTAGAAAAGTCTTTTACCTAATGTTAGTCTAAAAAGCATATATGTGTGTGTGTGTGTGTATTTATGTGTGTATGAAAAACTGAAGAACATTGACAATAACATGCTTTTTATTGTTTTTTCAAAGAATTGCCAAATTATAGAAAGTACGACAAAAATTCCTCAGAATTCTGAAGCCATGTTTATTTTATGCATGTAGTTTTTATTTCATTTGAAGAATTTATGTCTATTTATAATTATTAAGAACTAACAGCTTATCTTGGGGAAAATATTGCTCTTTTGATTGTTATTTGAACCACACAAATATACCACAGTGTGCTTAGAATTCGTTGTTTTAACCTATAACTTTTTGGATAATAATGTCATTCAATTCTATCTCAATAATCAGGATGTATCTTTGGGGTTTTATTCCATTATGAATTCCTATTTTATGTTTAGTAAAAAGCAAACAGAATTGTTGTTAGAAAACAATGCACACAATAAAATTTGAGTCACAAGCATATGTAGAGTAAATTCCATCTATGTCTACCATAAACAGTACTGAGGTATATTAGATTTAATACAAGTATATGAGTAGCTTAGAAAAAAAAGTCTTCTATAAGAGGGATGAAAAATCATGATCATGATCTTGAATGCTATTATCAGCTTTCATATGCAGTTAAAAAAGTCATTTCTTCCAACTTTTGATCTAAAGAAAGGCTTTTTTTGAAATTGAGCTCTGATGTAAATTATTTTAGTATTTTTTCTATGGCACTTCTAAGTCCCTGAATTGCTAATGATATCCTTATCTTCCATTTATCAAATTCCTTCTAAACTTCAGATAAGAGAACTCCAAGCTTCTCTTTTCTAAAAAAAAACTATCAATGTGAAAATAGTATAGAAATTATGGAAAACAATTCAGTGAAACTTTTTGTAAGTGTTAAAATAGCATCTATGAAATCTATGTATTAATTATAGGATGTGCCGTAACATTGTAAGCTTGTTGTCAGTGATGAAATGGAAGTGTGTTGACATATTCACATTCATAAAGCATTATTAATAAGTTTATATGAAATAACAATCATAGAATGGAAAAAGATTAATATAATTTATTGAAATAAAAATACATTTTGAATAAGAATAGAAAACAGCTTGGAAAATATTGTTTAATAACATTTTATGTAAATACAAAAATGTATATATTAGCCTGACATTACTTATTTTGGAAAGTATATGACACAATGGGAATTTTCATACACTACTCCTGGGAGTGCCATAAATGTGTGCCATCATTTCAGCTGAGTATGGTATTATCTGATTACGATGAAGGATTACATCCTAAGATCCAGTATGGACACTCTTATCAGAATGCATATACATACACATGCATATCACTGAGTTTCAGTAGCTAAAGTTGAGAAATCCTCCAAATGTCTACCAGTCCTCTCAATGGATAAACAAACTGTGGCATACTTATACAATGGAATGCTATACAGCAATCAAAATTAACAAACAAGACTGCCATGTTTACAACAGAATAATACAACTATGAAAATGAACAAATTTGAGCTACATAGATATTAATACTCACAGATATGAGAGGAATTATCAAGATGGAAAATACATTTAGTATAATCTCATTTACATAATGCTGAAAAACATTGTTTTTAATACATTGTAATTTTTTACCTTGGTAATAAATCTCTACAGTGAAACATATGAGTGATCATTAAAACAATTGGGATAGTCAGGAGGGAGGAAAATATCAACAAGAAGACTTTCATCGGGAGTATCTGGATTGCTGGAAATTCTATTTTTTTTTTATTTTTACACTTTTATTTGGATCTCATCTGTGTGAAGTATCTTTGACTGTGTTGGTCATCGTTGAATCAAATATCTAAATAAACTGAATCTGGAACATCCTAGTCCTCACATCAAAAGCACTGAATGAAGTTGGAATGGGGACTGGTGGTGGTGGTGGTACAGCAACAGGGTAGCCTAGTTAGGTTGCACAAGCCCATCAAAACACATGTGATTGTATGATTAGAACCAGGAAACTGGTTACTAGAAAAAGGAATTTAGTGGACTGTAGAGAGAAAATATTACATATTCAAGCACCTCACAACAGCTTAACACCAATTTTGTTTGAGGAATTCCTTTAGGTGTTAAAATACAATAAACAACCACAGCTGCCCACTTTTTGATGTAGCGGTTTGATTTTTTTCTTGCAAATTTGTTTAAGTTCTTTGTAGATTCTGGATATCAGCCCTTTGTGAGATGGGTAGATTGTAAACATTTTCTCCCATTCTGTAGGTTGCCTGTTCACTCTGATAGTAGTTTCTTTTGCTGTGCAGAAGCTCTTTAGTTTAATTAGATCCCATTTGTCAATTTTGGCTTTTGTTGCCATTGCTTTTGGTGTTTTAGTCATGAAGTCCTTGCACATGCCTATGTCCTGAATAGTATTTCCTAGGTTTACCTCTAGGGTTTCTATGGTTTTAGGTCTAACATTTAAGTCTTTAATCCATTTGAATTAATTTTTGTATAAAGTGTAAGCTTTCTACATATGGCTAGCCAGTTTTCCCAGCACCATTTATTAAATAGGGAATCCTTTCCCCATTTCTAGTTTTTGTCAGGGTTGTCAAAGATCAGATGGTTGTAGATGTGTTTTATTATTTCTGAGGGCCCTGTTCTGTTCCACTGGTATATCTCTCTTTTGGTACAAGTACCATGCTGTTTTGGTTACTATAGCCTTGTAGTATAGCTTGAAGTAAGGTAGCATGACACCTCCAGCTTTGTTCTTTTTGCTTAGGTTTGTCTTTGCAATGCGGGCTCTTTTTTGGTTCCATCTGAACTTTAAAGTAGTTATTTCCAATTCTGTGAAGAAAGTCATTGGTAGCTGGATAGGGATGGCATTGAATCTATGAATTACCTTGAGCAGTATGGCCATTTTTTACGATATTGATTCTTCCTAACCATGAGCTCTTCCATTTGTGTCCTCTTTTATTTCATTGAGCAGTGGTTTGTAGTTCTCCTTGAAGAGGTCCTTCACATCCCTTGAAAGTTGGATTCCTAGATATTTCATTCTCTTTGAAGCAATTGTAAATGGGAGTGCACTCATGACTTGGCTCTGTGTTTGTCTGTTATTGGTGTATAGGAGTGCTTGTGATTTTTGCACATTGATTTTGTATGCTCAGACTTTGCTGAAGTTGCTTAGCAGCTTAAGGAGATTTTGGGCTGACACAATGGGGTTTTCTAAATATACAATGGCAAATTCTATTTCCTTACCAAGGTCTGGTAGCATCAACGTTAGCATTATAATTTTTTCTTACTTTTTGTTAGGTGTTATTACTCTGTATATGTATGTTATATGCCACAAAAAAAAGTGTTAAAAATTTCATGTCTAAAACACCAAAAGCAACGGCGACAAAAGCCAAAATTGGCAATTGGGATCTAATTAAACTAAAGAGCTTCTGCACAGCAAAAGAAACTACCATCAGAGTGAACAGTCAACCTACAGAATGGGAGAAAATTGTTGCAATCTACTCATCTGACAAAGGGCTAATATCCAGAACCTACAAAGAACTCAAACAAATTTACAAGAAACAAGCAAACAACCCCATCAAAAAGTCGGCAAAGGATATGAACAGACACTTCTCAAAAGAAGACATTCGTACAGCCAACAGACACATGACAAAATGCTCATCATCACTTGCCATCAGACAAATGCAAATCAAAACCACAATGAGGTACCATCTCACTCCAGTTAGAATGGCAATCATGAAAAAATCAGGAAACAACAGGTGCTGGAGAGGATGTGGAGAAATAGGAACACTTTTACACTGTTGGTGGGACTGTAAACTAGTTCAACCATTGTGGAAAACAGTGTGGCGATTCCTCTAGGATCTAGAACTAGAAATACCATTTGACCCAGTCATTGCATTACTGGGTATATACCCAAAGGATTATAAATCACGCTGCTATAAAGACACATGCACATGTATGTTTATTACAGCACTATTCACAATACCAAAGACTTGGAATCATCCCAAACGTCCATCAGTGACAGACTGAATTAAGAAAATGTGGCACATATACACCATGGAATACTATGTAACCATACCAAAGGATGAGTTCGTGTCCTTTGTAGGGACATGGATGCAGCTTGAAGCCATCATTCTCAGCACACTATTGCAAGAACCGAAAACCAAATACCGCATGTTCTCACTCATAGGTGGGAATTGAACAATGAGACCACTTGGACACAGGAAGGGGAACATCACACACCGGGGCCTATTTTGGGGTAGGAGGAAGGGGAGGGGGGAGGGGGGAGGGATAGCATTAGGAGATATCCCTAATGTAAATGATGAGTTAATGGATGCAGCACACCAACATGGCACATGTATACATATGTAGCAAAACTGCACGTTGTGCACATGTACCCTAGAACTTAAAGTGTGTATTAAAAAAAAGTTAAAAGCAGAAACATAAAGTACATTTCTAAGTACAAAATTAGGGTGATACAGCAAATTCTCATAGATACCATTGTAAGTAGAGTTTTGCTGAATAAAGGAGCATAGAGCATTATGGTACTAAGAAATCCAAGTTAAAATTTAAAATTTTTCTTTTTTAATTTTGAGACTGGATCTCGCCGTGTTGTCCAGGCTGGAGTGCAGAAGTACAATCTCAGCTAAATGCAACCTCTGCCACCTTGGCTCAAGTCATTCTGCCATCTCAGCCTACAGAGTAGCTAGGGCAACAGGCATGCACCACCACGACCTGATAATTTTTTCTAGTTTTTTTTTTTTTTTTTTTTTTTTTTGTAGAGACAAGGTTTTGCCATGTTGCCCAGGCAGGTCTTGAACTCCTGTGCTCAGGCAATCCACCTGGCTCAGCCACCAAAAATGCTGGGATTACAGGTGTGAACCACCACACCTGTACCAAAACATTACTTTAATTAATTAAAACAAAAGAAAAGATAAGAAAGAACTATAAATCCACCATCTTAGTGTTAATATGAGTTTGAAACAACAAAATTTGAATATTTATGACAGATAGACACCTTTTCGCTTATTTCCAATTTAATTATTTGTGATACACATTTGAAAGTGTTAGAAATCCCCAAAATAGAATCCTAATTGTTGGAAGTCACTTTTGTTATCAACTTTTAAAATGCAGTAAAAGAAAAAAAGAAGAAGCAAATAAATCATTGAAAATATGTTGGTTTTACATTATTCTTGATGAAATACCATGTGAGGGTATTTGTCTAGGCCTGATGCTGAGAATTACAGAAGTATCATGAGGCCATGATGAGGAATAATAGTGTTCTCTCATCACCCTGAACTCCAGTACTTAGAAACAAGACTGAAATCACATTTATCAAATAGCATTCTCCCTTTCACCTGCCATCATCATTCTCATCGTCATCATGTATATCTTCATCTATCTCATGGAATGATTTGTTTTTGAAATATTTAAATACATAATATGGAAAATAAGGAATTTTAAAAAGATCATCATTGTGAGAAAGTTACAATAGTAAACAGCAAAGTTCAAGTCGAGCTCAATACATTTAGGTTTAAACATTAAGTGTAGTTTATTTTAGAATACATTGCCTAAGCAAATAATTATTTATGAACGACCTTAAATGAATCCTCATTTCACTAAGATCACAATAGAAACAATTTAGATTTTAGTGTAAATAGAACTCCCTAATAACAAAGATAAAGCAAATAACACATTTTTATGAGCAAGCTTTTATTTCTAAAGAGCGAGTTTTTAGGACCAAATTGTCAAACAGAGGTAAGACCTCAGATCTTCTGTCACACTTGAGTGAGTGATGATGGATTTCAAAGGTTGTAGTTCTATAACCAAAACCATATTCACGGATAGGGATTAAATGGTGGAATTCCATAGAAGCACTAGATTCAGGTTTATTTCCATGGGACTTCAAGTCTACTTGTATCAGACGTCCTTCAGTTTTTCATAAACTTGTAAGCACTGTTTCACTATTTGATCTCTTAAAGATTGTTGTAAACTAAGAAGTCTTGATTTCTGCTGATAAAAACAGCGTAAAATTAAAATCATGGAATAGAATGGTGGAGCTGTTGTTGAGATACTTTGTCTTATTAATTGAAGTGACATTTTGAGATCCAGTACTTCTCACTGAATTTCTCTGTGAGGAGAGTTTGCGATGATGATCCAGAAACAGAAAAGCTACTATCCAAAAAATGCTATCACATCAAATCAATTATCAATTTCTTCCAAGTTGCAGGAGGATGCCTAGACCTTGCTTTTATTCTTTTCTTTGACCAAAGTGTTACAAAAAGAAGAAAATCATTACCACTTTCATGTCAGAAAAATGGCATGGAGATGGACCTAGGCTGTTTTCGATGTTCCCTCTTTTGCCCTGTATAAGCGTTACTTGACTGTTTCTGATACATTCCGGTATTTCCAATTTTTGTTTTGGTTCATTTCTCAGTGTGCATGACAATTTTAACATATAATTTTTAGTCAGGAGAAATGTCTTATAGAAATTATTATTACTCATCTCATTATATACTGAAGGGAAAAATCAATTAGCTGTATATACATTCTTATACAACTCTAAGATAGTTGAAATAGGAACTTTCTTATTTAGTTGCATTATAAGGAAATTTGAGATGATGTTATCTGTCAAGCGCAGATGTTTCCAAAGGATTTATTCTAGACTTAATTGTCCACCTCACAGGACAAACCTTTGCCATTCCACATCTATTTTTACTTTCTGCTCCTGATTCCTGACACAACAAAGATGTACATACTTCTCACACTCTCGGTTTAGCAGAGTTCTTTTATCAGTTATGTTTTTCTGCAGGAGAAAACCCTCTAAAACGACATTAGATATATATATCTCACATGTCTTTGGATTTCATTTGTGTGTGTGTGTGTGTGTGTTCTGTTTTTTGAGATGGAGTCTCACTCTCTTGCCCAGGCTGGAGTGCACTGGCACGATCTTGGCTCACTGCAACTTCTGCCTCCTGAGTTCAAGCGATTCTCCTGCCTCAGCCTCCCAAGTAGCTGGGACTACAGGCAAACGCCACCAAGCCCGCCTAATTTTTATATTTTTAGTAGGGACGGGGTTTCACCATATTGGCCAGGAAGGTCTCAATCTCTTGACTTCGTGATCTACCCTCCTTACCCTTCCCCGCGCCTGTCCTGGATTTCATTTTTCTAAGCTGGGTTGATGGATGGCTCTGGTGAGTTGAGATGGGCCAAATTCGGCATCTTGGAGATAGAGTTTGGCCAATTTAGTGTGGATCAGCTGGGGGCAACCTGACCTCATTAGTTTCTCATTCTCCTTCTGGGAACAGTGTACTTTCTACGTGATGTTCTCATGGTAAATGGAAAGAGGAAGAATCTCCAGTATGGAAGCCACCTCAAATCTCTACGCAAAGTGCAGTAATTTTCTGTTTATGAAAGTAAGTTAAATGATTGGACTCCAAGTTCAGGCGCAAGGTAGTCAGTCTTCCTGCAATGGGAGTATGCTGCGAGATTATCTATCAAAGAGCCCGGTACTCAGGAATTCTTATAAAATTGCTAAATATTTTATATAATAATAAATATTCAAACACTAGACTTCAGAGAAACTTTACCAAAGTCCTAAGAATCAGATATGTGTTTGATAAATAAATATCATTCATGGGCTGAAAACTGTGAGTGTGAGAATAGGACTAATTTCATCTGGATAACCTCTTGGAAACTGATTTTTTGTTTTGGAAGTTACGAGAAAATAATTTGTTCCATTCATAAGCGGTGTGCCCATGCATGCATATGTATGTGTATTTCTGAGCTTGTGACTAATGAAATTATACAAAAGTATTAGCAGCAACCAGATCTTATGGAGTACTGGCCTGCCTGTGGTTCTCAAGAAAATCTTAGATGCTTTTGCTAAAAGCAGTTTGGATTCTGCGTATTTAAATCTGGCATTTAAAATGTCAATATAGGTGATTATCTTAGTTAAGAACAAGCTCCCTTTAAGAACGTAGACATTTACAACATGAACTATGTATTGGATTATAAAACTTCCCTAACAACTGAAGTCGTTAAAGACAAATGATGGATAGCTTACACAAGGAAAAATTGCAAACACTGAAAGAGAATATGCTCCTATTTGTGTACTAGCAAATGAGGATTCATGTTTCCTGTCAATTTCAGTATGAATAATTCCAGCCTATAAAAGGAACAGACAATGAATGAATGAGTTAATTTGAGTTGTTTGAAAATAAGAATGTTTTCCATAAAGAGATCACTGAACTCATCAATTAACATGCCATGGTGATTTCTGGCTTGACAGTGGTCACAACATTTAAAAGTAAAAAGAATGAGCAAGCACATTCACAAATTAGGTGCATATAGAATTTAAGGTCAGGATATTCAAGCAATCACAACCAGTCATATTTCATTGAGAGGTGAAGCCATCTGGACTTCCTGGGTCGAGTGGGGATTTGGAGAAGTATTCTGTAGCCATCATGGGGATTGTAAAGTGCACCAATAGGCGCTCTGTGGCTAGCCAGAGGATTGTAAAATGCACCAATGAATCCTCTGTAAAAGGCACCAATCAGCGTTCTGTAAAATGCTCCAATCAGTGCTCTGTAAAACGCACCAATCAACAGGATCCAAAAAGTAGCCAATCACAGGGATGACTGAAAAAGGGCACTCTGATAGGACAAAAACTGAACATGGGAAGGGACAAATAAGGGAATAAAAGTGGCTGTTCCAGCCGGCAGCAAAAACCCAGTCAGGTTCCCTTCAATGCTGGGGAAGGGTTGTCCTGTTGTTCTTCACAATAAACCTTGCTACCGCTCAGTCTTTGGGTCCATGCTATCTTTAAGAGCTGAAACCTGGCTACCGCTCAGTCTTTGGGTCCGTGCCATCTTTAAGAACTATAACACTCACTGCAAAGATCCGTGGCTCCACTCTGGAAGTCAGTGAGACCACGAACCCACCTGCAGGAACCAACTCCAGACACAACATCAGCATTTAAAAATTTTCTTTTTGTCTATTGAGACATGATAACTTTTCTATCCATCATTTTTTCCATTCTAGTAGTGGTTACATTTGTTATTGGAAATTGTGCTAATGGCTTCATAGCGTTGGTAAATTCCACTGAGTGGGTCAAGAGACAAAAGATCTCCTTTGCTGACCAAATTCTCACTGCTCTGGCGGTCTCCAGAATTGGTTTGCTCTGGGTATTATTATTAAATTGGTATGCAACTGTGTTGAATCCAGCGTTTTATACTATAGAAGTAAGAACTACCACTTATAACGTCTGGGCAGTAACCAGCCATTTCAGCAACTGGCTTGCTACTAGTCTCAGCATATTTTATTTGTTCAAGATTGCCAATTTCTCCAACCTTATTTTTCTTCACTTAAAGAGGAGAGTTAAGAATGTCATTCTGGTGATGCTGTTGGGGCCTTTGCTGGTTTTGGCTTGTCATCTTTTTGTCATAAACATGAATCAGATTGTACAGACAAAAGAATATGAAGAAAACATGACTTGGAAGATCATATTGAGGAATGCGATTTATCATCCAGATATGACTGTAACCACGCTACAGAACTTAGTACCTTTCACTCTGACGCTGATATGTTTTCTGCTGTTAATCTGTTCTCTGTGTAAACATCTCAAGAAGATGCAGCTCCATGGCAAAGGATCTCAAGATCCCAGCACCAAAGTCCACATAAAAGCTTTGCAAATTGTGATCTCCTTCCTCTTGTTATGTGTCGTTTACTTTGTGTCTGTAATTATATCAATTTGGAGTTTTGAGAGTCTGGGAAACAAACCTGTCTTCATGTTCTGCCAAGCTATTAGATTCAGCTATTCTTCAGCCCACCCATTCATCGTGATTTGGGGAAACAAGAAGCTAAAGCAGATTTTTCTTTCAGTTTTGTGGAACGTGAAGTACTGTGTGAAAGGACAGAAGCTTTCATCTCCATAAATTCCCAAGAGGGGCATTGTGTGTCTTCTAGCAGAAAACAAACTGGTGGTGTATGAAACATTTTCTATTTCTTACTGTGTTTTCTGTAATGTATGTGTATGAGTAATTTCCAGACATATACCTAGAAAAGTCTTTCACCTAAAATTAGTCAAAAGAAGTATACGTGTGTGTGTGTGTGTAATTTATATGAAAAACTTAAGAACACTGACAATAACATATGCTTTTTTTGTTTTTTCACATGAACTGCCAAATTATACAAAATATGACAAAAATTACTCAGAATTCCAAAGCCATGGTTTTCATTCATGTATTTTATATTTAATTTGTAGAATTTACAATGTCTATTTATAATTATTAAGAACTAACAGCTTATCTCAGGAAAAATATTTCTGTTTTCTATTGTTATTTGATCCACACAAATACACCACAGTGTGCTTAGAATTTGTTGTTAGAACATCTCACTTTTTGGATGGTAAGGTCATTCAATTCTAAATCAATAATGAGAATGCATCTTTGAGGTTTTATTACATTATGATTTCCTGTTTTATGTTTAGTAAAAAGCAATCAGAATTATTGATAGAAAACAATGCCCACAAAAAATTTTGCGTGACAAGCATATGTAGAGTAAATTTCGTCTATGTCTACCATAAACAGTACTGAGGAATATTAGATTTAATACAAGTATGTGAATAGCTTAGAAAAAAATCTCTTTGGTAATAAAGGGATGAAAATTCATGATCATGATCTTGATTGCTATTATCATTTTCCATATGCAGTTAGAAACGTCATTTCTTCCAGCTTTTGAATTAAAGAAAAACTGTTTTTGAATTGAGATCTGATGCAAATTGTTTTAGTATGTTTTCTAAAGCACTTCTAAGCCCCCGATTTGCTAAATATATCCTTATCTTCCATTTATAAAATTCCTTCTAAACTTCAGAGAGGAGAACTCAAATCTCTTCTCTAAAACAAAAACAAAAACAAAAACTATCAATGTAAAAGTAGTATAACAATGATGGAAAATAATTCAGTGAAACTTTTTGTAAATGTTAAAATACTATCTATGAAATCTATGTGTTAATTATGGAATGTGACTTAACGTTATAATTTTGTTGTCAGTAATGAAAATGTTTTGACATATTCACTAATAAAAAGTTCTATTATAAGAGAGAAATGTACAGTCTTGTTCACAGCTAAATTGTATATGAAGGTATTAGTTCTTTGTGTTATGAAATTTTAACGATGTTATTTAAACCTCAAGATAAATCATCCCCACAGCTGATTTATGTATTTTTTTAATCATATATCTTCCTCAATACAATGTAAAAACTGTAAAAAAGCAGATCATGTCTTCCTTGCTTTCTGTTGACTCACAAGTTCTGGAACCCAGTACCAAGTGTCGATGTTCAAAAATGATGTTTTAAGGAACAAATAAATGGGTGGGTAAAACGGATAAGTTGATGTGGTAAACCAATTAAAAAATGAAAAGTAAACTCATCACAAAATCTGCTTGGACCAGAGCCTATATCTTCTGTAGAGCCCTCTTTTATTCTAGGTTCCACTCGAGACCAGTAGCCTTTTGAAACTTCGTTAATGAGTCAGAGCAATATTTTCAAATGTGGAATATGTTGGCTCCAAAATCCCAATAGGCCCCCAAAATATTGTGTCTCTTTTGTAGTGATAGGAAATATATAGAGCAAAACATCGTTTACTGTAATAAAGTTTGTTTCGACATGTGGACTGGGGCCACTGAACGCTTTAAAACATCACCTATGTTGTAGGTCCCTGAATCTTCTCAGGTTTATTTATTTTGTTCTGGTATTTTACTTCCATTCAACATTAGGGTATTTTACTATATTTAAGAAACTTGCCACTTCCTGATTATTGTACCAACGAATACATTATTATTATTAATTATTATTCTTATTGCTATTATTTTGAACAGGTTCTCACTGTGTCCCTGAGACTGGAGTGCAGTGGCAGGATCACAGCTCATGACAGCCTCAACCTTCTGGGCTCAAGTGTTTCTCCTACCTCGGCATTGCTAGCAGCTGGGACTGCAGGGGAACAATCTCACGCCTGGCTAATTTTTTATTTTCTGTTGGGGTAGGATTTTACCATGTTACCCAGGCTGATTTCAAACTCCTAGGTTGAAGTGATGTGTCTGTTTTGGCCTCAAAAGTGCTGGGATTACAGTCATGTGCCACAGGGCCCGGTCTGTAATATTATTAATATATTAAATTAGCACGATGTTTTAAAAAATGTAAATTAAACTGAGAACAGAAGTGACATAGTCCTGACATAAAACAGTGAAGCAGTGCTATTATTCTTACAATACAAAGCAAAGTTTTGATTTTCCCTCTTACTGGGTGTAGATTAAGAAATATTGACCAAATCACGAGCCACATTAAAAGTACCAGAAGCTCTGCTCTGCTCAGTGAAGATAGCAAATCCTGGAAAGATTTTGTGAGTGTTGATTTAAGTTTATGGTAGTCTGCATTCATTCTATAATTCATCTGGTTTTGGTAGAGGCCAGATAGGTTAAGTGAATAGAGATCTAAAGAGGCTACTGTCCCCTGTAACTTGCAAGTGTTTTGTCAGGGCAGTGACCAATTCCATTCCTTAGGAATGCAGTTATTATATTTTATACATTGCGTTGCCAGTAGAGGAGAATTTGAGAGGCTTCCCCTTGGTCCTGCTATAATAATCACCTTTACTCTACAGGTTTCAATTACACATTCAGGAAGAAGTAATAACTGCAAACTGATTAGATCCACCTCGGGATGGACATGAGCCGAAGCTCTAAGTAGCATCTGACCTTCAAGCACTCCCACCGCAGGCTGGATGTGAGGACTCATGCCTGTAGTCCTAGTGCTTTGGGAGAGCAAGGAGGGAGGATCCCTTGACAGCAGTAATTCCCTGTGCAGCGTATGGAGACTCCATCCATACAAAAAATTAAAAAAATTAGCTGGCATGGTTGTGCATGCCTATAGTTCCAAACACTTGGGAAGTTAAGGCAGGAGGATTGCTTGAGCCCAGGCATTCAAGGCTGTAGTGGGCTATGATCCTGCCACTGTACTCCAACTTGGGTAACAGAGGGAGACTCTGTCTCAGAGGAAGAAGAAAAAAAAAAGTGTAAGTTCTCGCTGGTATCTTAAATATCAAGTAAAATGGGATCAAATCAATAATTAACAATCTTTGGTTCCTGCCTATAGCAAACAGGTAAAATTGAAAGTAGTTATGTAAAGAATAGATTAACTCCTAACAAAATTAACCAAAGACAATTTTATTTTCATCTCCTTTCTTTGTTGTTTTTTTTTGAGACAGGGTGTTGTTCTGTCTCCCTGCTGGAGTGCAGTGGCACGATCCTGACCAATACAACCTCCATCCCCTGGGTTCAAATGATTCTCCTGCCACAGCCAACTGAGTAGCTGGGATTATAGGTGTGCGTGATCACAACTGGCTAATTTTTGTATTTTTAGTGGGGACAGAGTTTCACCATGTTGGCCATGCCGGTTTCAAACTCCTGACCTCAGGTGATCTACCTGCCTTGGCCTCCCAAAATGCCGGAATTACAGGCCTGGGCCACCATGCCCAATCTATCATCTGCTTTTTTAGGTAATTTTATTGAGGCAGGCAGTAGTTGTAAAATGCAGTCTCACATCATAGCTATACGCTAACCAGCAGGGTGTCTGGTTCCCTGTCTTCACAGTCTGACTAGAAGATCTCCTCTTAGAAACCATTATACTGTAAAAACGGAAAAGAAATAAAATCCAAGATTGGAGACAGATTTGGTAAATATATGCATAATTGTAAACAAATGTTTACTGTCAAAAATAATGCCTTATTGCGGTAATTACCTATTTGATAGTATATATGCAAATGGCAAAAAGTAGACTGGAGGCGGAGGTGACAGGAGTAAATTTACTTAAAGTATTTTTTGAACTGTTCTACATCTATGAGGAGATTTTGAACAATGACCCTGTAATTCTATCCAAAGGTATATATACAAAGGAATTGTATCAAATGATATTTGAGAGAATGCTTTAGTAGAATTATTCATAACTGTTCAAAAAAAAGCTGGCCAAATATATATTAAGGATAGATCAATCATTACAGTAAATCCACACAACAGAACAACATAGAGAAGTGAAAAAAAATCAAATGTACATGCAACTCTGTGACTAAATTTCAGAAACACAATGTTGAGACCAAGAAACCACAACCAAGAAGAACATGAAGGATTGTACCTACACACAATTGAAAGCAGGCCAGACCAAGCTGTGCAGTTTAGGGTTGCATACCTAATTGGTAAAGTATAAGGAAAATCAAGGAAATGATCATCATAAATTATGGATATTGATTATCTCCAGAGATGTGAACAAGGGGTTACGGGCTTGGAAAGTGGCATGGAGGTGGACCTAGGCTGTTTTCGGTGTTCCTTGTCTTGCCCGCCATCATGGTTACTTGAGTGCTTATGATACATTGCGGTATTTCCCATTTTTATTTTGGCTCATTTCTAAGTGTGCATTATAATTTTAACATAAAAATTTTAAATTAGGAGAAATATCTCATATAAATTTATTATTACTTATTATATACTGCAGGAAAAATAAACTATTTGTATACATTCTTATACAACTCTAAGAGAGTTGAAGTAAGAACTTTCTTATTTAGTTGTAACATGAGGAAATTTGAGATGATGTTATCTGTCACCTCCAGATTTTTCCAAAGGATTTCTTCTAGCCTTAATTATCCACCTCATAGGAATAAACCTTTGCCATTCCCCACTGATTTTTTCCTTTTGGCTCCTGAATTTCTGACACAGCAAGGTTGTACATATTTTACACACTCTTAGTTTAGCAGAGTTCTTTTCTCAGTTATGTTTTTCTGCAAGAGAAACCCTCCAAAACTACATCATATATTTATATATTATATCTTTAGATTTCATTTTTCTAAGCAGGGTTTGGTGGATGTCTCTGGGGATTTGTGGTGGGCCAAATTCTGCATCTTGGAGGTCGTTAGAGTTTGGCCAATTTAGTCTGGATCAGGTGGGGACAATCTGCCTTCATTAGTTTTTCATTCTCCTTCTGGGAACAGAGTACTAGCTAGGAGATATTCTCACCCTAAATAGAAAGAGGAAGAATCCCCAGTATGGAAGCCATCTCAAATCTCTATGCAAAGTATATTAATTTTCTGTTTATCAAAGCAAGCTAAATTATTGAACTTCAAGTTCAGGGGAAAAGTAGTCAGTCGTCCTGTGATGGGAGGTTACTGCAAGGTTATATATCAAAGGACCTGGTACCCATGAATACTTTTAAAATTGCTGAATATTTTAATTAAATAATAAATATTTAAACATTAAACTTGAAAGAAACTTTACCAAAGACCTAATAACTAGAGATGTGTTTGATAAATAAATATTGTTCATGGGCTGAAAATCCTGAGTGGGAAAATAGGACTGATTTCAGCTGGACAACTTCCTGGAAACTCATTTTATATTTTGCAAATTACAAGAAAATAATTCATTCCATTCATAAGTGATGGGCACATGTGTGTGTTTGTGCGTGTATTTATGAGCTTCTGAATAATGAAGTCACAAAAAAGTATTAGCAGCAACCAGATCTTATGGAGTACTGGCCTGCCTGTGGTTCTCAAGTAAATCTTAGATGCCTTTGATAAAAGAAGGTTGGATTCTGTGTATTTAAACCTGGTGTTTAAAAAAGACTGCATAGGTGATTATCTTAGTTATGATCAAGCTCCCTTTAAGAATTTAGACATTTACTATATGATCTTTGTATTGAGTTATCAAACTTCCCTAACAACTAAAGTCGCTAAAGACAAATAATGGAGAGGTTACACAAGGAAAAATTGCAAACACTGAAAGTTAATATGTCCTTGTTTGCATACTAGCAAATGAGAATTCAGGGTTCATGTCAACTTCAGTATGAATAATTCCAGCCTATAACAAGAACAGACAGTGAGTGAATGAGTTAATTTGAGTTGTTTTGAAAATAAGAATGTTTTCCATAAAGAGAGCATTGAACTCATCCATTAGCATGCTATGGTGATTTCTGGCTTTACCCTGGTCACGACAATTAAAAGTAAAAAGAATGTCACAGCAGATACACAAATCAGGTGCATATAGAATTAAGGTCACGATATTCAAGCCATCACAAGCTGTGATGTTCCACCGGCATTTTAAAATTTTCTTTCTGTCTGTTCAGACATGATAACTTTTCTGTCTATCACTTTTTCCATTCTAAGAGTGGTTATATATTTTTTATTGGAAATTTTGCTAATGGCTTCATAGCATTGGTAAATTCCATTGAGTGGGTCAAGAGACAAAAGATCTCATTTGCTGACCAAATTCTCACTGCTCTGGCTGTCTTCAGAGTTGGTTTGCTCTGGGTATTATTACTACATTGGTGTGCAACTGAGTTTAATCTAGCTTTTTATAGTGTAGAAGTAAGAAGTACTGCTTATAACGTCTGGGTAGTGACCAACCATTTCAGCAACTGGCTTGGTACTAGCCTCAGCATGTTTTATTTGCTCAAGATTGCCACTTTCTCCAACCTGATTTTTCTTCACTTAAAGAGGAGAGTTATGAATGTCATTCTGGTGATGCTGTTGGGGTCTTTGCTATTTTTGGCTTGTCATCTTTTTGTCATAAACATGAATCAGATTGTACAGACAAAAGAATATGAAGGAAACATGACATGGAAGGTCAAATTGAGGAGTGCAATATACTTTTCAAATATGACTGTAACCATGCTAGCAAACTTTGTACCCCTCACTCTGACCCTGATATCTTTTCTGCTGTTAATCTGTTCTCTGTGTAAACATCTGAAGAAGATGCAGGTCCATGGCAAAGGATCTCAAGATCCCACCACCAAGGTCCACATAAAAGCTTTGCAAACTGTGACCTCCTTTCTCCTGTTATGTGCCATTCACTTTCTGGCCATAATGCTATCAGTTTGGAATTTTGAGAGGCTGGAAAACAAACCTGTCATCATGTTCTGCCAAGCTACTGTATTCAGCTATCCTTCCACCCACCCATTCATCCTGATTTGGGGAAACAAGAAACTAAAGCAGATTTTTCTTTCAACTTTGTGGAATGTGAGGTACTGGGTGAAAGGACAGAAGCCTTCATCTCTGTAGATTAACGAGAGGGGCCTTGTGTGTCTTCTAGCAGAAAACAAACTGGTGGTGTATGAAACATTTTCTATTTCTTACTGGGTTTTCTGTAATGTATGTATATGAATAATTTCCAAATGTATACCTAGAAAAGTCTTTTACCTAATGTTAGTCTAGAAAAGTATCTATGTGTGTGTGTGTGTATTTATGTGTGTATGAATAACTGAAGAACATTGACAATAACATGCTTTTTATTGTTTTTTCCAGAGAACTGCCAAATTATAGAGAGTACGACAAAAATTCCTCAGAATTATGAAGCCATGTTTATTTTATGCATGTAGTTTTAATTTCATTTGAAGAATTTATGTCTATTTATAATTATTAAGAACTGACAGCTTATCTCGGGAAAAATATTGCTCTTTTGATTGTTATTTGAACCACACAAATATACCACAGTGTTCTTAGAATTCGTTGTTTTAACCTGTAACTTTTTGGATAATAATGTCATTCAATTGTATCTCAATAATGAGGATGTTTCTTTGGGGTTTTATTCCATTATGAATTCCTATTTTATGTGTAGTAAAAAGCAAACAGAATTGTTGTTAGAAAACAATGCACACAATAAAATTTGAGTGACAAGCATATGTAGAGTAAATTCCATCTATGTCTACCATAAACAGTACTGAGGAACATTAGATTTAATACAAGTATGTGAATAGCTTAGGAAAAAAAGTCTTCTATAAGAGGGATGAAAAATCATGATCATGATCTTGATTGCTATTATCAGCTTTCATATGCAGTTAGAAAAGTCATTTCTTCCAACTTTTGATCTAAAGAAAGGCTTTTTTTGAAATTGAGCTCTGATGTAAATTATTTTAGTATTTTTTCTAAAGCACCTCTAAGCCCCTGAATTGCTAATGATATCCTTATTTTCCATTTATTAAATTCCTTCTAAACTTCAGATAAGAGAACTGCAATCTTTTCTTTTCTAAAAAAAAAACTATCAATGTGAAAATAGTATAGAAATTATGGAAAATAATTCAGTGAAACTTTTTGTAAGTGTTAAAATAGCATCTATGAAATCTATGTATTAATTATAGGATGTGCCTTAACATTATAAGTTTGTTGTCAGTGATGAAATGGAAGTGTGTTGACATATTTCCTAACAGGAAGCTGTGTTATAAGAAGGAAATGTGCAGTCTTGTTCACAGCTAAATTCTACATGACTGTATTAATTCTTGGTATTATAATATTTTAACGATTTTTTTTTATCATTCTTAGCAAACTATCACAAGAACAGAAAACCAAACACCGCATGTTCTCACTCTTAGGTGGGAACTGAACAATGAGATCACTTGGACTCAGGAAGGGGAACATCACACACCGGGGCCTATCATGGGGAGGGGAGAGGGGGGAGGGATTGCATTGGGAGTTATACCTGATGTAAATGACGAGTTGATGGGTGCAGCACACCAACATGGCACAAGTATACATATGTAACAAACCTGCACGTTATGCACATGTACCCTACAACTTAAAGTATAATAATAATAAATAAATTAAAACCAAAAAAAAGAAAAGAAGAAAAAAAAATAAACCTGAAGATAAATCATCCCCACACCTGATTTATGTATTTTTTAAAATCACACGTCTTCCTCAGAACAATGTAAGAGCCAAAAAAGAAGAAATTGTTTCTATCTTGCTTTCTGTTGACTCCCAGTACCTAAAACCCAGCACAAAGAATAGGTGGTCAGAAATGATATTTTAATGAGCAAATAAATGGGTGGATAAAGTGGATGAGTTGATGTGGTAAACCAAAGAAAAGGAAACTCATCACAATATCAACAGTTGCATGAATTCCCCTGTTCTGGTCTCAGGTTGAGGTTGCATGCTTATTCAGCAAAATGATTCCTCAGAGGAAAAGTTTGGCTATTCCACAATTTTAGGGGGAATACCACAATAATATAGTCTTGATGCAGCTGTATCAGGTGTCTGAATTGGAGACAAGGTAGAACATCAAAATTAGATGGCACCTATTACAATATTTTTAAAAAGCATATAAAGTACTTTGGTCTATTTGCATATGTATTTTTTCTATTGTGAAATATATATTTGTATTATGATATTTTATAGTTGATTATCATATAAAAATGGCATTTCCTTTCTAAAAATTGAGTTAGTAACCAGCTACTTTACTAAAATGTTTTTAATGTAATACCTGATATTAAAGTGATGATATTTATTTGGAAGGCAAGTTCAAGACAAAAATAGCAAGAACATGTGGAAATTGAGACAGGAACAAACGTGAAACAATGTGTCGTGATGTCTGGTGTGACTTTGCTGGCAGCCACTTCACAGTGAGGTGAGAGAGACAGCACGGTGGTCATTAGATGCATGCACTTGGCTCCCAGCACTTTTCCAGAAGGGTACAAGGGGAAACCACAGCCAGCATTAGTCCATGGAAGAGAAAGAGGAGGGAGAATGTATCTGTTCAGCTGTCATTAGTCTTGTATTTCCCATTGGCCGTGGTACCCCTGAGGCCGAACTACCTTCTCTGTTGTTCTGTCTTATATCATCTAGTCCCTTGGTGGAGGTTATGAAAGTCAGACCTCATGCCCACAGTGTGGTGATGCATTCAAGTTCCAAATGGAATGATGATCTGGAGCAGGCAAGGTGCTGGTCTGGGGAATAGGAGATAGTGAAGGGAATCTAAGAAAGCACATGTCTGTGTCCAGTGCAGTCCTATCCTTTTGCCACTCAGATGTGCTCATGTCCTCCAGTCATGGCTGGCTTTAGGAGCACATGACTTGCAGAGCTGCACAGAGTTTTGTGCCTAGAGGGGCTTGTGCTTAGATGAACTCTATGCTTGGATTAATGTTCTGCATTTGCTGTTTTGTTTGTCAGGCAGAGGATACTCCTCCGCTGAAGAGGGAATGGTTTTGCACTAATTCCACAGGAATTTGCTCTCCCCTCTCCTACAGGCTTGTCAGAGACATGCACAGAGTCCTATAATGTCCACTCTGCATGCCTCTAGCAGCTTTGAATTCTGCTGGATCATCTGGCCCAGTGGCCAGAGCAGCTTGGACCAGAGCCTGTATCTGCTGTAGAGCCCTCTTTAGTTCTGGCCTCCACCTGAGACCAGTAACCTTTAGAAACTTCGTTCATGAGTCAGAGCAATATTGTCAAATGTAGAATATGTTGACTCCAAAATCCCAATAGGCTCCCAAAACATTGTGCCTCTTTTGTAAAGATAGGAAATATATGGAGAGAGCAACACGCCTTTTTCTTTAAAAAAGATTGTTTCAACTTGTGGACTAGGGATGCTGAAAACCTTAAAACATCACCTGTGTTTATGTCCCTGAATCTTCTCCAATTTCTCTCTTTCCTTCTGGTATTTTACTTCTGCTCAATGTTATAGTATTTTACTATATTTAAGAAACTTACCACTTCCTGATTATTGTACCAACTAATATATTATTATTATTATTGCTATTATTTTGAGACAGGGTCACATTCTGTCCCCAAGGCTGGAGTGCAGTGACAGGATCACAGCTCATTGCAGCCTCAATCTTCTGGGCTCAAGTGATTCTCCTGCTTCGGCATTCCTAGCAACTGGGACTGTAGGGGCACAACACCATGCCTGGCTATTTCTTGTATTTTTTGTTGGGCTGGATGTCACCGTGTTACCCAGGCTTGTCTCAAAATCCTGGGCTCAAGTGATCTGCCCGTTTTGGCCTCCTAAGTTGTTGGGATTAGAGTTATGTGCCACAGGGCCTGATCTGTTATATTAATCGTATGCTAAATTGGCACGATGTTTTAAAGAAATGTAAATTGAACTGAGAACAGAAGTGACATGGCCCTGACATAAAACAGGGAAGCAGTGCTATTATTCTTACAAGGCAAACTTTTTTTATTTTCCCTCATAATGAGTGTAGATTAAGAAACATTCACCAAATCATGAGCCCCATAAGAAGTACCAGAAGCTCTGCTCTGCTCAGTGAGGATAGCACATCCTGGAAACCTTTTGTAAGTGCTGATTTAAGTTTATCATAATCTGCATTCATTCTATAACCCACCTTGCTTTGGTAGAGGCCAGACTGCTTAACTGAATAGGAATTTAAAGAGACTACCATCCCCTGTTACTTTCAAGCTTTTTGTCATGGCAGTGACCAATTCCATTCCTTACAGAATGCGGGTATTATACTTTATACACTGTGTTGCCGTTAGAGAATTTCAGAGGCTTCCCCTTGGTCCTGCTATAATAATGTCCCTTACTCTATAGTTCAGGAAGAATGTGATAGTTCTGCCAGCTGCCATATATATCCATTTCAATTACACATTCAGGAAGAGTTATTATTACAAACTGATTAGATCCACCTTGGGATGGATGTGAGCCAAATGAAGCTCTAGGTAGCATCTGACCTTCAAAACTCCTACTGCGGCCTGGATGTGATGGCTCATACCTGTAGTCCTAGTACTTTGGGAGGCCAAGGTGGGAGGATCCCTTGAGAGCAGGAATTCCCTGTGCAGCATATGGAAACTCCGTCTCTATGAAAAATTAAAAAATTAGCAGGCATGGAGGTGCTTGTCTATAGCTCCAAAAACTTGGGAAACTGAGGCAGGAGGATTGCTTGAGCCCAGGTGTTCAAGGCTACAGTGGGTTATGATCCTGCCACTGTACTCCAGTTTGAGTAGCAGAGGGCGACTCTGTTTCAGAAGAAAAAAAAAAGTGTAAATTCTCACTGATATGTTAAATATCAAGAAAAACAGGATCAAATCAATAATTAACAATCTTTGGTTCCTGCCTATAGCAGACAGGTAAGATTGAAAGTAGTATAGAAATAGTATATTAACTCCAAGGAAAACTAACCAAAGAAAGTTTTATTATCATCTCCTTTTTGTTGTTGTTGTTATTTTGAGATGGAGTCTCACTCTTTCTCTCAGGCTAGAGTGCAGTGGCGTGATTTTGACTAACTATGCCCTCTGCCTTCTCGTTTCAAACAATTCTTCTGCTGCAGCCACTGAGTAGCTGGGATTATAGGCGGGTGCCATCACACCTGGTTGATATTTGTATTTTTAGTGGAGACAGGCAGGTTTCACCATGTTGGCCATGCTAGTCTCAAAATCCTGACCTCAGCTGATCCACCTGCCTCGGCGTCCCAAAGTGCTTGGATTACAGGTATGAGCCACCGTGCCTGCTTTTTGTAAGTGATTATACTGACTCAAGGATTAGTAGGAAAATGGAGTCTCAGATCATAGCTATACCAAGGAGGGAATCTGGTTTCCTGTTCTGGCAGTCAGACTCCAAGATCCCCTCTTAGAAACCTTTATACTATAAACACTGAAGAGAAATAAAATCCAGGATGGGAGACTGATTTTAACATCTATTCATTGTAAACCATTAAGTAATCAAAAATAAATTAAATAGAGAAAAATAAAACTGAATATTCATACATAGGGAAGTGTAGACTCTTCTATGGAAAACATGTTTTTTTAAGTGCTCAAGGAATAGTTATAAAATTGTTGAATATTTTAATTAAATAATTAATATTTAAGTATTAGGCTCAAGAGAATAACTTAGTCAGAGGCCTAACTATGAGAGGTTAAGTTTGATAAACATTGAAAATGGGCTGAAAAGCCCA